TTCTTTTAAATCTTAGTCAACTATTGTTATAAGTTTTTATAATGTCCTTTATAAATTAGAAAATAGGAATGTTGGGGGCATCATATTTTTGAGACACAGTCTGCCTGTAACCCAGGTGACCTCAAACTCACAAGGTACACCAGCCTAGCATTGAACATATTAAAATCCCATCTATTTTTGGCTTGTTGATTTCTTTTAGCTGTTTTTTTGGTTTTTTTTTTACAGTTTCTTTTAACTTTTAATCAGGTCTTGCTATTTCCTGGGGTAGGGGCCTACGGCTCCCGACACCATTCTTACATTTATAAGGTCTCTCTCCAGTGTGAGTTTTCTGATGTTTTCTGAGACTTGAGCAAAAAGTAAAGGGTTTAGCCCATTTATGACATTTGTAAGGCTTCTCTCCAGTGTGGCTTCTGTATGGCGTCTCAGGTAGTACAAATGATAAAAGGACTTTCCACATTCTTTGCATTTGTCAGGTTTCTCTTCAGGAAGGTTTTTGTAATGGCTTTTAAGTATTGAGAAATGAAGAATAGAATTGTCACATTCTTTTAATTCATAGGGTTTCTCTCCAGTATGAGGTTTCTTGTGTTCAGCAGGGTTTGAACATTTTCCATATTTCTTACATTTATGTTGTTTCTCTTCACTATGGATGCTTTGTTGGACAACATTATAAGTAGAGCCAAAAAGACGTTATCACCATCTTTATATTCTTCTTTCATTCCAAGATTGACTCTAAGATTTTGACTAATATTGGAATAGAAATGTTAAGATTTGTCACAGTCTTTACATTTACAAAGTTCTTTTCCAGTGTGCAATCTATTATGTTTATTTAGATTCAATGGTTCAACTGAGGCATTTCTGTAGGATTCATAACAACCTTCTCATTCTCATGTAAATTGTACAGTTTGTCACAACGTGGAAACAATATTTGATGAAAAAATCCTGGACCAAGGAAAAGGGAATTTGGATTTTAGATTTCATTCCCTTATAAATCTCTTTTTCAGAAATGATAAAGGACAGTATAATGCATTATTACATATAAAATATTTCCACTTATTGTTTTGCAATGCACATAACTGTTCAGAGT